GGCCGCGAGAAGGTAAGAGTCAGTCCGAGCAAAAACAGCCAGCCCGCGTTGAGCTCTAACAATCGTCTCTGTTTGTCTCCATTGACCAGCGCCTGCAGGTAAAAGGCATTAACTCGGGATGAGCGCCCATTAGCCCGTGTGTGTCCGGACGACACGTCGCTGAATGGTCCGGCGCTGTCTCCGCGCCACCGGTGGGTAGCGTAAGCCGCGCGCCGTCTGTTTGCCTCGGCGTGCGGCGGGACGGACGGTCCCGCTTCCCGCCGCGCCGCCCGCCGCCGCGCAGACTGTTTGCCGCCTACCACCCACCGCACGCACCCACAATGCCTGCGGCGGCCCTGACAGCCGCCAAAGCGCTTATCTTTCACGGCCTAACTACCGGAGAATTCAGCGCCGGTGGTCCGCGGCCGGTGGCGCCGCGGCGCACGACACAATGGCCGACAACGCCGGACGGAAGCCCCGCTCAATGGATTATTATTGGGCGGTCGCCGTGCGTGGGGCGGCTTTGGTGAGGCCGAGGCACGACCCGGCCGGGGCAGGCGGCTACTCTGGGCGCGACGGGGCACGACCCGGCCGGGGCAGGCGGCTACTCAGGGTGCGACGGGGCACGACCCGGCCGGGGCAGGCGGCTACTCGGGTGCGACGGGGCACGACCCGCCGGGCAGGCGGCTACTCTGGCACGACGGGGCACGACCCGCCGTGGCAGGCGGCTACTCTGGGAGCGACGGGGCACGACCCGGCCGGGGCAGGCGGCTACTCTGGGCGCGACGGGGCAGGTCGGAGAAAACAGGTTTCCCCGTCTGACGCCAGCGAGACCGGGCGTGTCGGGCCAGGCCAGAGAAACACGACCTGTTCGCTCGGAACGGCAAGATCCCTCCTTATCGGGCCGGGCCAGGGGGTGGAGTTACTTACCTGGTACCAGGTCTCCGTGTGCAGAGTCGGGTCAGGCAAATAAATCACATCACCTAACCTGGCAACAGCAGATCGGGGCCATACTGGGGGATAACGCCTCACCTGTCACCAGCAGGTCAGGACACGCCAAGCCAGGCCGGGGGATAGCGCCTCACCTGATACCAGGAGGTGAGGCGTCACTACATAAAACACATGCATAAAACGGCCTTCTTTTCACTGCTTCCGAGCATTCATTAGTCATGAGTCGTGCACCCAGGGTGCACCAATGTTTTCCACTGCCGTGCAAATTTACGAATGACATCGCTAGAATGACATACAAGCTGTTTGGATATAAGTTAGTTAATTGTCAGCCTTGATAGGGATCAAGCAACTGTACTTATAAGCAAGAAACGCATTGAGCTCCTGGCTTCTCAACGTGATGATTTTGTAGCATAAAAATGGTCGGCCATCAAAATGTCAGATGGCGGGGATATTGGTTAATAAACATCAATATCAAGCTAGTACTACAACATCTCATGACAACACTTCATATTTCAGGGCAGTGGTCATAAGAGAGAGTCATAAGTCATAGGCACTGATCATGGTCATAAGATGAACGCGACTACAAACGCTGCAGCACACGACCACCAGTACGATTTGCAACACGCCTAAACAAACGTTTAATCTTTTTCACTTGCAGCCAAGGGCACAGCATTGAAACGTCGAGTATTCTAAGAAATATCCTAATAATCACTTGACATCGTTGCATCACCAGAACTTCCCGGTATATCACAAGTTGGTTATGTTTAGCACAACTCATGAGACTATGAGCCTGACAGTGCCCGGTACTTTTAGCTGAAGAAACTAGGGAATTTGGAATGACTTACGTTTTTCGGTGGCTGGGACCAAAGCTTTCATTAACGCTCCGATGCCAGGTGGGTTTAATCGCCGTAAACTGGACTATACGCGTGCGCAGTTTTCATGGCACAGCCTCTCGCGGTTCAGCTCACCTCAACGGCTGCTTATATTCCCACTTTTTGCGCTCGCACTCGTTCATGTCACACATTTGGTAGTGAAAAAGCCCCTTCCCTGTCCCCTCTGTTAATATCCTATTCTCTCCTATCCTATCATATCATTCCTATGATATATCCTATATATATATATATATATATATATATAGTATATATATATACATATATATATATATATATATATATCCTCTCTGCCTGCTAATTCCTAGCCCCCTGTTTTTTGTTGTTCATTTCCTGTCATTATTTCGTCCCCTGTTCTACACTTATAATCCCCGATACTTGAGAGTTCTTTTATCACCCCGTCGTGTATATGGCGATTATCCGTCTCCACACATAACCCTATAGAGCTGGTTGTGAATGAACGTGACGTTATGCTGATGCCTCGCATCCGTTCACGTTGCCCAGTGGACCAAGTGTTGTACACTCGTAGTAGAGACTGTGCGCTGAGATTGGGTTCGCATCCCAGCAACGTCATGTTCTATACGCCCGGCTGTCACATCCAGCATGATCTGGACACAACAGCTGCTAAGCATGGGCGGCAGACCTAGAAAGTATCCCGTCCGTTCTGTTCGGGGCTCGGGCGACTGCCACAAGTTCATAGCGCTGAACGTTCGGAGCCCGGATACTTCTGGTATTCACTAGGGTTTAGCTGCCGCATACATCTGCCTTGCAGGCATCCGCCTTGAAAGTGTTGGGTTTTCGTCTACCGACGCTCACGTCTTCCCCTGGACCTTTGCGAAAGATAAGAGTCCATTTGCACAAACTTCCCTTCCCCTCCGCACTCCGGGCGTAGGGGTCGTCTCTGAATCGGGGAAGGGTACATCCGCCTTGCGCCCACCCACTGCATCCGTTCCAGGTCCTTTGACCTGCAAAATCCCAACGGCGGTCATCAAAGCTGAGTGGCGCGTCTAGGAATGAGTCCAAAGTTATGGAACCAACAGATGAAACAATTTGCAACCAATCTATCAGTAGAGTCGGAGCACCTCCATTCAGCTGTCCATCCGCTATGCTGAGAAAATACCAAACACAGCTCCAGCCTTATCCGACAAAGACGAAGCAGTGACGATTGCATATTTAAAAATCAGTTTTGAATGCAGGCGGTGTGGCCAAAAACATGTCATACGCCGTGCTTTTTCTCATGTGACATCACCCACTTTATTTCATTCTCTCACTTGTTTCCCATCCAATATATCAGTCTGAATCATCGATTGAAGTCAATGGAATCAGTGTTGTCATACGGCAAGGCGGAAGACACAAATTGAAATTACTATTGTGATAGTTACAATCGGTGGCAAAACCTCGAGGCTTTCCTAAACGGGCATGCTTAAAAATGCACTGCGATGAATTGAGAACTCGTAAACACGGCACAAACGATTGCGCTAAACAAATAAATGTGATGATAAGGCTGGATGGCGTTAAGCGCGCGCAGGTCACGCAGTATGTAGGTCAGCCCGTGTGTCACGTAAGTTTCTTAGACTAATTGAGATACTCGTGTGTTGTTCTGTTCAGCTTGTGCATGCCTTTGGGATTTTCGGAATCCCACGCGGCGTGCCTGGCATTTGAACCCCTCCATACAAGGAATTGCAATCTCGGATAATTGGCATGCAAAGCATCGAAGAAATATGGTACGAGGGATTGCGTACGCTGAGAAATGCGGCACGAAGAAATGTGTGCACGGAACTATGAAATATCAACCGTGCGCTTACGAATAAATAAAATGCAATAAAATGCATAATCCAAGAAATTGGATAACCTTTCCGTTGGGATGTGCTGTGGATACAAAACCTTACGTTAAATGAAGTGTTCTATATTTGTATGGGATTTTTAACTGAAATAAACAACTGGAGGACCTTTTGGTGCGGCTCACAGCCCTGTCCTTCTTAAAACCTAAATTTCTGTATTTTCTGAACTCACGCCGGCGAAACAGGGAAA